CTTCAATTCAACATTCGTGGTGATTTCTGACATGTATGAAATATTTGACAAGATTTCTGTCACTGCTACTTCCGGTAAGATTTACACTGCGTTCCAGGTTAACGTTTAATGTTGCGATCATGCTTTCGTTTGCAGGGCTATCGCCATATATTTAATGGAAGCCAAACAATGTACAGGAAAACTGTTCACTGACAACGTATTGTTGTTAATGCTGCAACTACTCTTGCGTTTCCTCACATTTTACGATATAAATCAAGATTATTCAGTCAAAGTACTTGCCTTACATACATACAAACATACGTTCACATATACATAGAACCATATATACACACGCATAACACGTACATACATGCATGCATCCGTACATATACACCGCTGTTTTTGTGTATTACGTTTGATCAATCCGTGTCACAAACTTGCTTTAAAGCACATCGTTTGTACGGTATCCCTGATTTTATACTTTCTCATGTAAAGTATGTTCCACACTCTCTGCCACACTGGCAATACCCGTCGACCGTTTGCGAAATTATCATCCTCTCTGTCCGTTCTTTGAGTGCCTACCTGTTATCGTTTTGCAGTAGGGGGCTGTTGACTTCTGTCTGATGGTGCTCATTCTTATCGATTTCCTATAATGCTTTATTCGATACGGATTATTTTGCGGATATTAGCTATGAATTGCATGCGATTTGCTTCTTCTTTGATGTAGTTTCCTGGCTATGTGTTTGTTGGTTGTTCTTTCATTCCATGGACCAATGAAGCGATTGTGATTCTCGTCCAGAGTTCAGTTGGTATGTCATTCCTACAGTTCTGCTAATTGTAGATACACTGGTTGAATTCGACAGTGAAACGATTGACTGATGTCGGATACACCAGAAAACTGCGCAAACACTGGTTATCTATGCACTAGATGTCATTCGAATCTTCTACAATTTTCAGTGTCTTTAACATCCTTAAAACAACGGTGGCAGTGTTTTGATAAGTCCTTCATCTCGTGATTGAACTAGTTGCGCTAATATTGCGCCAAGAGTCTTTTTTCGCATAGTCTTTTTCATTGAATTTCAGATTTGTCCTTTCAGTTAACGATATCTAATAGTTCCTTTTTCATCATCTGGTTCCTCAGGGAGACTTTGGACATTGCTGTTAAGTACTTTAAATCAAAATTATGAGTTGTCAGAGTGAAATAGTTTCGTTCAATGGAGTATCAATGTTATTGCTCCTTACCAATTGTCTAAATTAATGAATAGGTCAAAAAATTCCTGAGGGTGTCCATGTAAAAGTTGTGATTGTTTCGTACTAGTTTCTAAATACTGTTGACATAAGCTTGATTCATAATGTTTCTCAATTTAGTAATGGCTCTAAGCTCCGCCTCCGTGCACAGCACTCATCAGTACGGCTATGACATGACCATCCGCGTGCAAAACATGTCGAAAGTATACCCTGATGGATGCACGAAGGATATGTATGCAAAGTTCCTGAGTGATGTTGCGTATAAACGAGCTGTTGAACAGGACAACATTGCCCCACAACGGCATCACAACTATTCTCTCGAAGTACTCCAAAAAAGGTAGTTTAATTTTACCCCGTTCCATTCTGCCTTCTGTTTCCCAATATTCTGCGCAAGGTCGGCTTTTCTGTCTAAGGGTACTGGCTAGCAATAAGCCGGATAACAAGAAACATTTGTCTGTGGCTTAAGCAGTTTCTTTGTGACTTGTTGACCTATTGTTCCATAAACATTTTTCAGCCTATGATCTGAGGCACAGATATACCTAAAAGTGTGATTATATGTTTATACATGAGCCTCGTTGCAGTAGGTTACAGAATTAACATAAAGTAGGAGACAGATAGCCTCTTTAGATTTATTCTGTTCGTACTCTTGGACGAAACTTATCAAAATATCATTCATACTGATGATAGAATTGTCCTAAACGACCGGCTTATTTCCCGCGGCTGTTCACACAGCTAAGTTCATGAGTATTAGGTATAGTTAAAGGATTTTTCTGTAAAATCTTTAACAGAAACATCTTCCAGTCATTGTAAAATGACGGAAGATGTTTATGGCAGGCAGTGCGATGGTATCAAAGTTCATGACGGCTGTTCGAGGAGAAACTCACCCGTCTGAAAATAAATGACATCTGTGCTTTACTTTGTGGCACTAAAAAGGTAAATTAGTTCTTACCGAGTTCTGCCTTCTCTTTTCCAACGTTCTACGCAGAAGTCGACTTTTCTAACTAAACGTACTCGCTTACAATAAGACAGATAACAAACCGCATTTCTCTGTGACTTATCAGTTTCTCAGTAACTTCTTGACCGACTGTTCCATAAATACTTTCTGGCCCGTGATCTGAGACACAGATATACCTAAAACTATGATTCGATGTTTATACATGAACCTCGTTGCAGCAGATTATAAATGACATAAAATATGAGACGGACAACCTCTTTAAATTTATTGTGTTCGTACTTTGGGAAGAAACTTATCAAAACGTTATTCTTAGTGGTAATAGAATTGTCGTAAACGACCGCCTTATTTCCCGTGGCTGTTCACATGGCTGAGTTCGTGAGCATTAAGTATAGGGTTCTTCTGTGAACGAACAATCATTGTAAATTTACTGATGATGTTTAACGCAGGCAGTCCGGTATCAAAGATCATTACTGCTGTTCCAATAGGAAACAAACGTTTGAAAATAAATGGCATGTGTTTTATTTTATAGCGCTTATTCATACGGAACTGATGTTCCCAACTATGAATCTCGTCCTGACATACAATACCGTAATTTATTGTTGTTCACTCTCTCAAGAGCCGCTCGTATTATAGGCAAAAATACTAGTAATTATTTTGGAGACTTATAAGCATCGCAGTGAGAAAGTAGCATACCATGTCTACATGAAATGGATTAAAATACACCACGAAATGAAAACTGCGTCATTTCAGGTTACGAGGAACTGTTTAAACTATGAAAATTTCTAGTTTTATGCGGTAAGGCGTCTTTTATACGTTCAAACACAACAAACCAGAATTGCATACTTGCGATTTACAATATTAATGTAATGGTA